TCCCTTTAAACGGCTGCGGGCTGTCTTTGGTAGATTGGTGCAGACCTCATCTCGACGTGCGTTCCACGACGCGCTACGTTTGGCGCCGTTCCATCACGCACCGTGACGTCACTGGGTACTTAAGTGACGTCATCAGTGGCAAATCGTCGTAACTGTGTATCAACAGACTCCTTACCGTTGCACAGTGGCACTTTTTCAGAATTAGCACGCATAAATTCAAAATATTTTTTTCTCTTCTTTTGAGTAAAAAGCAGTCTAATCGTGTGCAAAACATTCCAAACTATCGGATGGTGCCATTTTTACCTCCTAAAAAATAATTATCTTTGGTAAAACTGACCGCAAAATCGAAGTTTGTCGAGAGGCGCGCGGACACCACCGGGGGACCCTAAAAAGTAGGGTGAGATGAACATCAATTTGTAAGACTTTCGATGAGAAAATATTAAAAATTAGTGGCATGGCTGTGAAGCTGAGTTTACGTAGAAGCCCTAGAAACCACAATTTTCATTGTATAAACTTAAATAGACCACTTTTGCCGAATATTGTGGACGCAATAACAGAACAATTATTAACTGGAGATGGCGGCATACATACCAGTAAAACGCCTTTTGGGCGAAGAACGAGCGAGCGAGATAGTGAGCCCTGCACGTGCGGAAGGGTGAGAGGGTACTTCCAAAGGGCTTGCGCAAAGCACCCTTCTAACCGGTCGCTAGCGGTGTACCAAATTTGAACGCAATCGGCCCAGCCGTTCCTGAGATCTGGAAGCGGCATTCTGCACGTGCGCACGTGCAAACGGGGTCCAAACTGACTTTTGCACGGCACCCTACTAACCGGTCTCCAACCGTGTACCAAATTTGAGCGCAATCGGCCCAGCCGTTCTCGAGATCTGGAAGCGCCCCCTGCACGTGCGCACGTGCAGTAGCACCTTAACCGCAACACATGGAAATGCATTGCCTGGTGGGTGCCTACCTGTATGCCAAGTTTCAGCGAAATCGCCCCAGTAATTACCGAGTTATTAAAATGGGAACAAATTTGACACCCAGGGCCTCGGCTAAGGAATTTTGACTGGTGGGCCACTTGGGCAGCGACATGGACTGACCTTCGTAGCCATACCCCCCCCCCCCATTTTCGATTTCTCCCCAGATTTCGGCCACTTTATTCTGCAAAAAAGTCAGGATGGCATTCAAAAAATGTATAAAAAACGGGGCTCGACCCCCCCCCCCCGACTCTTCAGAGAGAGAGAGGAGAGAGTAGGGACCCACAACCCTCTCAGTGGTGATACTCCCGCGGTGCACATAAAATCGCACAAGCACGGAATATATAGTCTACGACATATCGTAGTACCTACATATCGACATATTGACATGCCGTAGACTATATATTCCGTGGCACAAGTATGCACACAATATTGACGCAGATTATAAAACTTTGGACGATAACTTACGGCCGTGAGTGGATCGCTCGCCGACTAGTCGGAGATTCGGAAGCGGTCGGACGGGATCGGGCGTTGTTGGGTGGATCGGGAGGAATTATGAACAGCACGAGTGCAACTTTATATATAAAATGGGTTGTAACAGGAACCCAAAAGGGGGTTGTAGCAGCAACCCCAACATCTCTGAAAATGATCATTAAGCCTATTGGTGTCGCATGGAAAATAATTGACTCAAAAGCCCAAGCGCACTGCGCAACCCTGGTATTTTCTGTAAAAAAAAAACTAAGTTATGTACACGTTCACTTCTGGTGAACAGTGTCCCAAACTTCAGATTTCTCTTGGGTGTCTGAGTAGAAAATTCGAGCCACCCAAAATGCGAGAGTGGAAAATTATCCATTCTTATTCTTGAGTGTCATCTTCAGCCCAAATGAGAAATTTTTGGAATGCTGACTGTGGACGGTTCGAAATTCGTCCAACTGGTCAGGTGTGTGACTGTAAGCATCATACCGGTCGTGAAGACGCATAATATCGCTTGCAGACTTCAATCGGCTGGAAGTCGCCGACACTACCTCTAGTTTGACTCTGGCTTATATCGTGTCTATCGGCGAGCCGTCTGAGATCGCACGCAGGCTTATCCCCGACCGTCTGAACTGGTCTGTTCTTTATTCGTAGTTTTTCTTGTAACCGACTGGTCTGCGGCAGATGCTTAAGGCCGTGCTACACTGCCGAATTTTGGCCACGACCCTGTCGCCGAATCACGTCGTGTAGGAAATCGGCGAACAGTTCACCGACAGAGGCGAACAGCTCGCCGACAGAGCCCGATTTGCAGACAACGGGTGGGGGGCCCCCTAATCGTGCGCGGATCGAAGCTGATCCATGATTCGGCGAACATCGCGAATGAATGGCGAATCTGTTGCGAATAGTCGGCGATACCTTGGCAACAAGTCGGCGCACGTAGCGACATGTCGGCGGTGACTCGGCGAGTGTTTGGCGATCATGTTCGTTTATTATAAGTTCGGCGAACGGCCACGAAATTTTCATTTTTCATGAAATATTCGTGGCGGTCGTGACGAACCGTAAAAGTCGCGCGGTGGGCACCGACTGGTCTGCGAAATGCCAAGACCGTGGAAGAAAGATCCCGAATCGATCCGCGACATAGGATGACTTGCATATTCGTGCACATTCGTGTACCGAAATTCGGTAGTGTAACAAGGGCTTTATGTGACTGCAACCACTCGATCGATCGGAAAGCTTGCAAGAACTCTCGCAGACCTCGATCGGCTGGAAGCCGCCGACACTATCTGTAATTGACAGAGGCAGACGTCTTTCGCGATTATTGCATAAAATTTAAAGCCTCGGTCACACTTCACCGGATTGGACCAACGGACGAGAAACGGACGAGAACTGTCAGCGTCCGGTGATGTCCGTTTGTTTCCGTTGGACGTCCGTTTGTCATCCGTTAATATCCGTTCCATGTCCGGTGGTGTCCGGTTGAGCACACCGGACACCACCGGACATGGAACGGATATGAACGGATGAGAAACGGACGTCCAACGGAAACGAACGGACGTCCCCCGGACATCACCGGACGCCGTCCGTTTCTTGTCCATTGGTCCAATCTGGTGAAAAGTGACCGAGGCTTAGTCCACTTAGTCCACTATAGTTCACTTTTTACCCCAAGAGGATATTGCAAACAATAGGACTAGGTTGAATTTTTTCACAAGAATATGTTTCACCGATGGCTACTTTACAGCCTGAAAATGTACGATAAGATCTGCTAATTCAATTTGAAATGTGAAAATGTGGAAACTTAGATTTTTCGGAGAATTACTGGTGGGCCAAATCTTTGAGGCTGGTGGGCCATTTCGGATCACTGGTGGGCCATTTGGCCCACCAGTTAACATGTTAGCCGAGGCCCTGTTGACACCTCTTATTGTTGTATTTTGCACGTGCACTGGGGGTGACCCACATGCATCGAGAGCATCCTATTTTTGGTAGAAAGGATGCAGCTACCCTATAAAAATTACCGCAAGTCAATCGCCCAAGCGGCTGCTGAGATATGAGCCTCTCAAAATCACTACTTTTGCAAAACAGCTTGAACAGTGAACACCCTTGACTTTTCACGTGGCACGTGCCACGACGGTCACTGAGATGTATCAAAAGTAGTCAATTACGGGGTAGAAGGGATGGGGCTACCCAGCAAAAAAGACCGCAGGCCAATCGGTCCAGCGGTTGCTGAGATATAAGCCTCTCAAAAGCGTTACAGGCCGGGCCGGGCCGGGCCGGGCCGCTCATACTGAGATTTTTCCGTTATATTGAAAAGACTCGCTTCGCTCGCTGCGCTCGCTCGCTCGTAATGAAGCTTTATGTTAAGTAGCACACTCTGGAACATGTCGTATTATACATCGTTCGAATCGCCGATCTCTTCTGACCATGTCCACCAAAGGGCATCGCGCCATTTTGCGCCATTTTGCTTCTACGATGGATACCTAACGTGAGCCAGTTCAGTCCGCGAGCGGCTGTGGCTCCTGTTCGATACGACTAAGCCCATTGACCTGGCTCGAAGCTGGTGTCACCTGGTGTGCGCCTAAATGTGGCTTGACTTTTGCCATAAGATGTGCTTATTGAAATGTCATGTAGGCATAACGCTGTGCTCAAGAAAAACTGTCCGATTTCTTGTCGCGTTTGATGTCCAAGCCGCCAAGTCCCGTGGTTGGCTTAAGATCTAACGTCAAAAGCGCCTATGTGTTTGTATTGTTCGCGTTGCGCTGACCTTAGTTGCTGCCCGGCCGGGGCCGACTAACGGTGGCTGGCAACAGCTGTAGATGCGGTCACGTGACGCCCTGGGGCGTCCTGGCGGTCAGTGCAGCGCGGTCGGCTGGCGGGCTCGCCACACTTGCGTTCGGAGCGGCCTGGGCCGGCGGGCGAGCCGTGCGAACGTGCGCCAAATCTTGGGCCGAGCGGCCTGTCGCTGTTGGGCCGAATCTCCTTGGGCAGTTCGTTTCTTTTCTTCTCTTTGCATTGGCAGGGAATACGTCCTTGATCACGTGGTGATGTCTTGCACCACTTTCAGGTAATGTGGGAATTAATGCGTGCTAATTCTGAAAAAGGGCCACTGTGCGTTGCCTCCCCCCCCCACACTCCCCTCCGCAGCTATCGACTCAGTGACTATCAGTGACTATCGAGAGAGTGACTCATCCAGTTATCGTACGGTGGCTCTCGAACTGGAGGGGCGAGGCTCTAGACAGTTTTGTAATCTAACCCTGGCAATTAGTGTGCGTTCTTCATTCTTCCCATGGTAAATGTGGGTGTTTTAGCAAGCATGGCGCGTTGTGATCATGCGTTATTATTTTTTACGACGTATAGGCTCCCACGGTCCCACGAGCCTTTATACCTACTAATGGACACTGAAGGTGTAAAACGATGCGATGCGTCCAATCTAAACATGAAACGCTTTCATATTGAAACAAACAAAGTGCTAACGGTCGTTACGCGGCCCTCTAGCTCCATTTTTGAAGGTGATTCCGGGTCCACGCTCGTCACCTTGTGCGCCGCACATTTGAGGACCTCTGCACGTCTCCCGCACTATCTTTGTAGTATCTTTGCGACTGAACTCTGAAAATCCGCCCAGTCAGTTTCTCGGCTGGAGTTTCCCGGTGTTTCGATAGACACGGGAACTCCCATAGCCACTGCCGTCTGTTTGCACACACGTTACTCGACCTGAAGCTTCCGCTGCCAACGCATTGGAGTTTCCGTGATATATGTGCTGCTGGTATATAGGCTGAGGGTGACTGTGTGTTGGCGTCATTCAGCAAAGGACCGCTCCGGAGATACTGTGGAAGGAAGCCGCATTTGAGGTCTCAGCTCGACTCAGCTTAGCTTAGTTAGAGGTGAGTGTTAGGGTATCAAACAGCTTGGTACATGGGCCCCGCCACCGGGGGGGGGGGCGGGCGGACGTGTCCCCCCCAAATATTTTACATTTTTAGCATTATGCCTATGGGTGCTGCATGGAAAGAATCGACTTCAAACGGCCTTCGTCCCCCCCCCCCCCCCCCCAACCAACGGGTCGTGACGGAGCCCTTGAACAGAGCTGTTCAAGGGCTCGAATGTACATCGTAGCTCTACGATGTACATAGGTACGGTACGGCTCAGCCGAGTTTGAAAAAAAAAAACGTTTTTACTGGACCGTTCCATGCTTCTATCCTCAGGATGCAGAAATCCTTCTCCTCCACACCGCAACCCCCCTCCGGGCTGGACAGGCAACTTAATCTCATGCGGGCTGCTCCCTTGGAGCGGCACCGCTGCTCCCGAGGGAGCGCACCCCGTAGCCGGGTGCGTGAGTACCTTGGTGCTGGCCGGCCAGTCCTTCGGGATGGGCTCAGCCCCGGTGACTCACTAGGGTGCCTGCCCAGACCAATGTCTCCCCCTAATTTCTATCATCCTTCCGGCTCTGAAATGGTCTAATTGGACCGAAAGGGCCTAACCCAACAAAACAAACAAACAAACAAACGTTTTTACTGTCGTCAGACTCATACTATTACAGATCATCATATTAACTGTCAGTGAACTTGTCCGATTCCAATTTTTATTCAATTCCAAATCCAATGAGAAGCCTCAGGAGCCCCCCCCCCCCCCTGAGGTTTTTTGGTTATATCTCCCAAACGCTTTGAGCTAGGAAGCTCAAATTTTCTGACTTTTTCTAAAAGGCTTTTACGCAACATTTCTGAAAATTGTGAGCTGATCTGACCTCAGGTCAGGTCACCAGAGGCGGTTTGGTGACCCTACCTCAGAAAAGTTTGCAATCACGCCAGAGCTAGAGTAGTTGACCGATCAATTTCTTCTCTTCAGGCTTTAGTTAGGGTACCAGTATGTGCAATTTGTATATCTCAGAATTTTCATATCTGTGACCTGAGGTCAGGCCAGACTCGTGACCTTTACATTGCAAGCCTATGGGAAAATATTGAAACGCCTCCTGCTTCGTGTAAACGAGTCAAAACCACCCAGTTCTTTCAGTATTACGGAAGATTATCTCATCGGTGATGATCCTGGTGCCGCTAATTGACAGGGGCACCGGCAAAGGTCATCTGAGGTCATGTGACGTCATTAATCGTTTTTCTGTCAATAAATCACGACATGATGGTGCTAAAGACTTGTAAGTGGTACCAAACTGCTCGCCTGGTCGAGGCGCGTCGTTTGGTATGCAGCATGACCATACCCCACAACCTCATTGATGAATGACCTGACCTTGACCTCATGTCAAATTTTAAATTGACCTGTGAAGGTCATCACATACTTATTTCGCATCGCCTCGGCGAGAGCAACAAAAAATGTATTGGTTTTATGTCTCTATGTTTCTTAGTTTAAAAGTTATATAGGTAACTAATTCCAAAACATTTTATCGTTGATGACCTCTGGTGACCTCAATATTGACCTGACCTGAAAATGTTTTATGTAAAAGTTGTAGATCTTTAAACGACCTATCAAACGCCGTTCGCCGTTTGTCGCTGCGATGTGTAGTTTTTGAGATCTGAAGGGGGGGCCGAATCGGCCCCCCCCCCCCCCGCCAGTTTCTTGTCCCGGCGGAGCCCGCCAGGAATAGTGTTAAATGTCTGAGCTGGTTTTATTTTACAGTTACCCATTTAACTGTCACATCAGTTCACTACATCATGATATGCTCTGTCTTCAAAATGTTCGATCATGGGCACAGTAGCGAGCACCGTCTTGTTTCTTTGTGTTTGTGGATGACACGTTGGGCCCGGTCTTCTGTGAGCCTGCACCATGTCTTGATGGATTTGTATAGGTAGGTACTATAACAACCGTGCCCCTACCCCACAGCCATGGACACAGTCATGGGTACATTGCTCGGCGCGCTGCGGCACAACTTCGCCCGTGCCGCCGAGCCGATGACCGCCCCACCGGTAAAGGAAGGTCAGGACAAGGACGGTCAGGACAATGACGGTCAGGACAAGGACGGTCAGGTCAGGGACGGTGAGGAGGACGCCAACCAGCGGTACGACCCGGCGCAGGACGCTGCTGAGAAGACCTACCACGCCGGCGAGGCGGCCGGGCGCGCCGCGGCAGAGGCCGCCAGCAGCGGCTTCACCGGACCGAGGAAGCACGACCCGGTCAAAACCGGCGGACTGAGGGTGTATGAGTCAGACAGCGGCACGGTCAGTGTCGGCGTGGGCGCCAGCTCAGACGGAACCGACCACGGCGTGGGGGCGGGCCTCAGACTGGAATGGTGAACAGTGCAACGGGGATAGGGTATGGATGACTGAGTGATCTCGATGGCGTTTTACGAAAGGATACGGGTGACGGTGTATATGGGTGGTAGCTGTGAGCTAGGAATTTATGTCTGATGGTGTACCAACGAACCATAGGCTGTGGATTTTCTGCTTGATTATGTTTATTCCTCTCCGATATTTTCAATTCTAGTCAGGTATCTGTTGACCTGAAATTGGAATTGTATAGAAGCTGGTGACTTATTGGAACACGAGGGCATACGCCGCCCTGCACCACACCGGTTGTCTACCTAAAACGATACCTAGTTTAGCGGTCACTAATGCCATGTTTTAGCGATGTTGCTATGAATTATTTTTGTCGGATGTGTCAATGCCCAATGATTTCAGCGAGCGTTAATTATTGTAATGAATGCGTTATGAATAAAATGAATGCGATTTCATGTCGAATATTATATGTATGTCGTCGATGACAAGTCAACAGTTTGCCGCAGCTTTACAAACACTGCTTTACGTTCAAATAAAAACAGCACACTTATCCATTCCACGTTACCTGTGTCTGTCTGTCTGTCTGTCTGTCTGTCTGTCTGTCTGTCTGTCTGTCTGTCTGTTTGTCTGTCCGTCCGTCTGTCCGTCTGTCCGTCTGTCCGTCCGTCCGTCCGTCTGTCTGTCTGTCTGTCTGTCTGTCTGTCTGTCTGTCTGTCCTGTCTGTCCCGTCTGTCCTGTCTGTCGGTCCGTTCGTCCGTCCGTCCGTCCGTCCGTCCGTCCGTCCGTCTGTACACTGTCTGTCTGTCTGTCCGTCTGTCTGTGTGATTGTGCCCCCAGGGGGTCCGGAAGCGGTGGGGAGTATGTTTTCAAAAAAAAAATGTTTAATAAAATTTCTTTCATCGGGGGTGTTTTTCTTTCCGAGATGGTTGCCGACCTGCGCCGTGCTCTGGAACAACCTCAGGTGAGTGTTTTCGGCTGGTAGATCCTCAAATGGTTGATTAATGAGTTGATTTTTTTGCTGTTTGATTTCTCTCTTGTTCAAACGTAATTACACACCCATTTCCAATTGCTGGTCGGTCCGTTGGTTTCAAGCTGACCGATTCCTCTCCGCCACCGTTCCTTGCGCCTGGGGCTCGTCACAAACAATATTTATAATGAGGCTGGCTTGTCGCTTGTCAACATATAGTCTTCACTGCCTAGGATGGTATCTGTCTCATAAGGAATTTAGGACACGGATGTCTCCCCAAAGCATATAATTTTGATGCCTCCCTTGAGGACATAACCTGAAGCCACCATCTGATACCTGATAGCTACCCACCATTCTCTCCCTTTCTAATGCCTATCATCCCAAAGATAATCGAGTACATCCCCATTTAATGTCGCCCTCCATGCTGAGATTAGATCTCCCGCTGGTCCTTACACTATATGACGCATACCTCAATCTCCCTCAGACTCACTCTCATTGTCATACCTCTCTCATCCCACTACAATAAATTTTATCCCGCGTCGACCTCTCAGTCCCTCCCAGCAATTGTTCTAACTCCCTCCAGCGGTACATATCAGGGACAATAAACGCAATTTATTCCATAGACTCCGTGATTAGTGCAAATTTCATCTAAGCTTACTCTTACCTCCCAACGACTTATCGCGCCCCCATTCCAACATTGGAATCGTGTGTGCTCTTCCTAGCACCTCTCTGGCTCCCTGGCCCAATATCCTCGAACACCTACATCACTTGACCCTGATTACTTGTCTAAAGGTGCAACGCAGGTAGCGATTACATTATATTAGCTTTCGTCGATGGGTGTGATTGGTTCAATCAATCTCTGCTGGCCCGCTCTCTTCGAACACCTACATCATTGACCCCGATTACTTGTCTAAAGATATGACGCGGGTAGCGTCAGTTATTAGCGTTCCTCGGTGACTATGATTGGTTCGTCAACCCCTGCCGCTCACGGCACATCTCTGTCTCCCTACTAAAAATATCCGCGGCCGGACGTTGGTTACTGACCCTTGCAGCCCTTCTGTGAGAGACCGTCTTACGCGTTTTCACCTAACGAACCGGTGGACACAAGCCTGCTGCCCCGGCGACCGCAGTCTCTTTGGGCTCGAACAGGTCCCTACCCTCTCATACAGCCATGGCACCCGCGAGTGGCGCCTTTCAATCATTGACCGGTGTGATTCGAAAGACTCCATGACTTATCTAACCTTCAATTTTATCCGAAGTCGCGGAAGTTTGTCCTACAGATGTGTGTTCACGCGCGTTAGCTTCATGAGTGATACATGCTGTGGCCTTCCAACGATGGGCTTAATCACTTACCTCATCTCGGCGGTATTAATCCTTCGCCCAATTCTTTGACTCTCAGTCTCTCACCTCTTGCGGAATTCTCCCTCGCCTTATCCTCTGTCATTTTCGTATTTGTCACTCACCTTCGGCAGTGTGCTCCCTCGTCCTGTCTCTGTCTCTTTCTGACTCACCTCTCAGCTTGGGCGTCTTATGGCGTTCTTTGTTCTGATATCTGCCTAACATATTTATTTACTTCCTCTGTAACGTGAGACAGTTCCAATCCTAGTAGACTTAGACGTATCAGCAGAGTCAAAAACACATGGAAGTGTTGCAACATACCTCCTCTTCGGCTAGCATCCATTCTTAGATCTTTCCTCCTTGTGTAATTCCGGTTTCAATATCTATCGACCACTTCAGAGTCACTCCTTCTGTATCCCCTTACCTGTCTGATCCGTAGAATCCCTTCAGTCCATGTGCGCCCCGCTGCGCGGTACGTGTCGATTGTTACCCGTGACATGAACAAAAAAAAAATCATTTGATAGAGAAATCTGCGCCGCCAAATACTCAGACCATCTACTACTCCTTTCATCTACACGATATTTACGCCTATCAGCCGAAACGTCTCCACCGCAGCTTGCTATATTCACTCAGTGACGTCATACTCCAGGAAACAGACTGTTTACGCTTGTTGATCAGTAATGACGTCATAAGATCGTGCCGTCTGCGGTTGGTACATCCTGACTTCTCATCGTCTAACCTTGGACACGCCAACTTTGATCGGAATTTCAACTTGAATATTCTGAGTGTTGCCTGTGATTTAATGAAGTAATTCTCGGAAGTGCCCAATCATTTGTGATCATGAATATTTTGTTTGTGGATTGCTGTCTGGCGTCCCTCGCCACGTTGTCGCAAATTTCTCTGGGGTTGTAAGTATTTGCATCAAGGGAACTCTAAGGTAGTGCGCCGGATTAGTCTCAATTTTGCATTTCGATTTAAAAACAATCCAATTCATGTGATTTCATGTTATCTTACTGAACCGATTTATGAGAGTCAATTTTATAATACAGATTTTATTGACATACTCGACCAGATGATTTATTTACTTGCAATTGACAATCGACTTGTGGTGTTCTAATTTAAGGAAGCTCGGTTTACCGATTGCTATGTTGTTGAAGGTATACAAATTTTGGCAAATGTGATATCCAATTATTCGAGTGGGAACATCAGCAATGAGAAATGGTTATATCAAATCAAGCGGGGACTGTGTCCACTTCCAGTCATGAGGACATGTTAAACTTTCTGACAATTTTATGCTATGCAACTGGAATTGCGCGGTCGGTTGGCAGGCCGAGTTCAGCACAACAAGCTATGCTTAGTGCGAGCTCTGATTTCTCAACTCTGCCCATTCACCCATTCAGACTAAATTAAAAAAAGGGCAAGAGCAGTAACTTTAACAAGCTAATGGGAACTGTCCAATGGAGAATGGTGCTAATTTCAAACTAAATTGATGGCTCGGTTAAGACTAGACTGGTGTAATCATCGTTGTATCTGTTCCGTCACCTGACAAAGTTTGTCATGTTCAATGATGCCTTATAAATTTTCAATTCCAGGATGTTAAGTGAAACTGCACTGGTCTGAAACTGTTGTGCTAGCATCCAAGGCCAGATATGAGATCAGTTGTGACTTGAGAGGTCAATGATCATTGACATTGAAATTCCATGTTCAATAGATCATGTCAATAGAAAGGGATCAAATAACCTTGGATGTTACTGGGAATAATCTGACTCGAATTGATGCATGCTACTGATTTACCATCTGAATTCATTAATTTCAGCGTGTCCCTCCAAAACTTTGTAAGTATAGTTGTCAGTAGCTTTTCACACCACGCATGACATGAGATGAATGTCCTCCTAGCTTGGGTGGCAATGACCTTGGACATATTGTAGTACCTGTTCGTTAGGGAATGACACTAGAAAGGTGACTGGGGTTGGTGCTATTTCCTCATAAGTCCCTGGTACTGTTCAATTGAATCTAACACCATCTGACTCAGCCATGGTCCTTTCTTTCTTTTAATTTCTAAGTTTTAGTGATACACGCTCAATCATAACACAATTAATTATCCATTCCTGCCTTTAGCCTATAATTGTCTGCTAATCTGATTTGGTGGCATGCCTTGCAATGCAGAGTTTGATTTCGACTGACATAGGTAACCAGTTTCTCCCTGAATTAGACTAGGGTTATAGGGTTGTTCACCAAAATTTTCTAAAATTTGATCGTATGTGACTCTGCTCCCTCTTTCTCCCCTTTAACCACCCGCAATTGTGTCCGTCATTTTTCACTGAAGTCAGGATGGGTCAATAGTTAAATTAGGTGTTCGTCCAGCTATCTTAACATACTAATTGTTTCTCTCAGCAGGTCCATATTCGTGTACTGCCCGCGGTTCAGCTGAGCTGAGGACTTCATGGGCCCGTGCTTTCTCCGATCCAGCGGCGGGGGGACCAGGTCGCATTTGTGAGATCCAAAGCATTCGCGTCATTGTCTTCTCTGGTTTAAATTAGCATGAAGGTCGCTTTTGCCTACAGATATAAATGAAGTATTACACCTGGATATCTCACTCACTCACTCGCCCACTCTCTCTCTCTCTCTCTCTCTCTCTCTCTCTCTCTCTCTCTCTCTCTCTCTCTCTCTCTCTCTCTCTCTCTCTCTCTCTCTCTCTCTCTCTCTCTCTCTCTCTCTCTCTCTCTCTCTCTCTCTGTCTCTGTCTCTGTCTCTGTCTCTGTCTCTGTCTCTGTCTTGTCTCACTCTCACTCTCGATTATCTGTTCTAACTCACTGTCGCAGGTCTTAAGATTGAACCATATCGTTGAGTCTTTTAGGCAAACGGGATTTATCGAAATTGTACAATATTTGTAAATTAAGCAAACACAAAGGGACAGGTGATAACCGGCCTTTAATTGATTGTAATGAAAGCTCTGCGGCGACCTGACCCTGCTTCAGATCTGATCGGCGCCCATTCTGACTCATCGGTGATTTTGGCGACTCCTAGCGGATGTCGTCAAGGTTACGTTAGCTAGGTGGCGGTAGGGAGTCACGGGTTGGTCTGGATTGTCGAAGTTGTACCAAAATATTTTATGTATGAGATCGATCTTTATAACTACTGATTTAGAAA